AAAAAAAAAAAAAAACAAAGGAAAAAAGGAGAGAGAGAAGAGGGAGATAAATCCCATCTGTGAATTTGTCTTATTGGCGCCTTTCCCCCAGCTGTCTTCCAAGTATTATTTTTACTGTTAAAAATTTTTTTAAAAAAATGTGAAATGTAATGTTTTTACAGCAACAATATGAAATATATTTTATAAGGAATAAAATGGTACATTGTCTGATTTAATGTGTGCCTGTCCCTCTACCCCTTCCCCCTACAAAGGATAAGATTACTGTTGTTCTTGGTGTTAAACAAGTTGTGGCATGTGGGCAAAGCGTACACATTCATTCATTCATTCATTAGCTTATAATAATGATAGGGACCAGGGACCAGTCCAAGTGCATACATGAATAATCAAGTGCTGACCTAAATAATCCAATGAGAGAGTTACTACTACTATTCCCATTTTACAGATGAGAAGAGGGAAGCACAGAAGTCAAATAACTTACCCCAGGTCATAAACTGTGAAATAACGGCACTAAGATTGTAATCCAGGTAGGAACCATTTTATATACTGCTTGTATGGACAGTGGGGAGCGTGTTCTTGGCTATATCCCTGAGTTGGTTGAGGAGTTGGCAAATGACTTAGGAAAAAATAAGTCCTTTTCTGCTTATGGGATGGGTTCTGACTTTAGGGAACAATACGGGACACTCCCCGAGTTCTTTGATTCCACGTACTGTGATGACCCAAATGGCTAGTTAAAAGCTGGCCTACGTGGGAAGCAGAAAGCAAACTCCCATCCTTGTGCACTGGGGCTGCTTTAAGCAATTTTAGCTTCCGGGACCATAGGCGTCTCTGGGAGCAGGATCTGGAGACCCCTAAAAGGCCCTGACGGTGAGAGTGGTGTGTCCCTAGACCCAGGGGCTGGATTACATCACTCAAGCCCAGCAGCATGTAAAGCTGGTATGGGGGTGGCCATTTTCCTTACCTCGTGGTAGAGCACAGGGCTTCTTTTGCCCCGTTTTCCCTTGTCCCCTGCCTCCCAAGAAAAGTCCCAGTAGAATCTATTGCTCCACTGCCGTTTGCCCAAGCTCCTCTACATCACTTGTGACTCTGGGCTACACATTCTCAATTTGTACTTCCCAGGCTCACCTTTATGGCTGCATGCACAGACTCCCTAACTTTCCAGCTTCTAGTTGGGTTTGACCCACAGGTGACAGACTGGGGTTTGAAGGGCTGGAGGACAGAGAAATTGGGGGATTGCATCACCTAGCCCTTCCTGCAGTGTCTGAATGGCTAAGGTTCCCTACTGAGAGCTCAGCAGGGCTCTCCAGTTCCCCAGCAGAGCTCCTTACCCTCCTGACTGATTTCCCATCACCTAGTATACACTCTAGACATTTGAGTCTCCTCAATTGCCCTGTCTGGGTGCACCATATGTTTCTTCGCCTGACAGTTACACCTTGACATGTTTCGTGTTAAATTGGAGATAAACATGACATCAGCGAGTTCATCTAGGCTCTGCCCTTTTCCTCATGTCTTAATCCAGTGGTCTCAAAACAGCAAGATCTGCATCACTTGGAACTTGTTAAAAATGCAAATTCCTTCTGAGTGAGAAACGGGGTGGATTCTGTGTCTCCACCAGCAACCCGCCCCAACGGTGATGTTGACAGGCACCCGGAGGTTCTGAGCACCCTGCCTCTCCCCTCCCCGCTCATCCATTCATGCACTTGCTAGAGATGCAGTGCAATCGGAGTGTTTAT